TGTAGGCTCATGGACAATGTCATACCCGCTACTCTTCGTGAATCTATGTTTGTTTATTTGGATGACTTGCTTGTGTGTTCGGAAGCTTTTGTGTCCCATTTGTCCTTGTTAGAAAAAGTCGCTAAATGTCTCCGTGAAGCCAAACTTACAATAAACGTTGAAAAGAGTAAATTTTATTTTAAGGAGGTACGGTACCTTGGGTACGTCGTGGGTAACGGTTGTATCCGTACAGACACGAGCAAAGTCGCAGCCATTAGGGGCTTCCCGAAGCCACGAACCCCGAAGCAGCTCAAGCGGTTCCTGGGGATGACAGGGTGGTGCCGGAGATTTATACAAGACTACGCGACGATTGCAGCCCGCTACGCGACTGCCTCAAGAAAGACAGAATAAACAAATTTGCAATGACGGACGAAGCCAGAAGGGCGTTTAATCATTTGAAAGAGAGCCTGATTTCAGCACTAGTATTGACCCACCCCGACTTCAACAGACACTTTTACATTCAATGTGAGACTTCAACGGACAGAGTGGGCGGGGTTTTATGTCAGCTAGACGATGACGGTAACGAGCGGCCAATAGCATACATCTCGGCCAAGCTTAACAAAGCGCAGCGCAACTACAGTATTACAGAGTTAGAGTGCTATGCCGCAGTGCTGAGGGACTCCCTTTCACGGTGATAACTGAACACGCGAGTCTAAAATGGTTGATGAACCAAAAGGATTTATCGGGCAGACTCGCGAGGTGGAGCTTAAATCTCCAGGCTTATGACTTTGAAATTCGGCATCTAAAAGGGTCCCAAAACATCGTACCAGATGCACTGTCGGGGATGAACATGAAAAAGTTGGCGGCAAAGGACAGAATGTATGCTTAGACTCACCATTTTTCAAGACGGACGAATATGAGGAGCTTAAAAATACGGTGACGAGCAACCAAGACAGACTACCCGAACTTTGCGCATCGGACGGTTACGTATACAAACGGACGCAATTTAAAATTGGAGATGACGTTCAGCAGGACCACGCCTGGAAACTCTGGGTGCCGACAGAGCTGCGCCGTGGGCTTGTGGAATCCTCGCATGATGCACTGTCTGTTGGTCACGGGGACTGCATATAACTTTAGCTCGCCTAAGAGAACAATATTATTGGCCCGGCATGGTAACCGACGTACAAGACTATTACTACGTTTATACGCATGCATAAGTCGCCTTAATTCATTTCGCCGCGATTCAAAACATATGTATAAACTGAATTTCAATTCGCTTTGAAAGAGCGAAGTGTTTGGGCTCACACTCCATTTCAAATCGGTAGTTTAATTCTCCAGACAGTTAGAAAGAGTGTATAAACACCGCTCTCACTCAAAGCGAATTGGAGATCAGCTGTTCCACTCAAATTCCAAATAATTACATCAGTATTTAAAAGCTGATTAATAGTAATCGTTCTTTTTCTTTGCCACGATTTTATAATGCCGAATAAAACTAGATTTTTATCACTTCCCATTATGTTAACTTATAAAATGTCAAATGAAAACTGCTGATTTTGTTTGCTTTTGAAGACGGTTACTTTGATGCCGATATAAAGCCGTAAGTATAGACACTAGAGCGAAATGTGTACGGTGTAAACGCGCTTTCAATTAAGTCGATTATTCTGTGCGTATAAACGTAGTATATGTAAAAGCTTGCGAAATCTGTAAAGGCAACAAAACGCAAAACGCTTTCCACAAACCATTAATGGGCAAACAGCGTGTCACTGAAAGGCCGTTTCAACGCTTATTCATTGACTTCATGGGTCCGTACCCCCGTACGTGTTGTGGAAATGTCTATTACCTGTTTATACCGACACATAAAGCGCTTTGACCCAGTTCGCTGTGATTCAAATCGGAGGCATAAACCAACTTTCAACACGCTCGGAAATTCAAAAGTGTATTGACTCGAATTTGTTTTCAAATCGCTTTTTTATTTCTCACATCGGTTAGAAAACAGGTATAAATACATCATTAATTTGATGCGAAGTTAAAAATGGCCGGTTTTCTTTATACAGCCCGTTTTATATTTGAATCATTATTACAACAAATTGAAATTCTTGTTGGCTTCCATTTCGGTCCACCGCGCAAGTTAATTATTAAAGAAATATCGAATAAAAATAACAAGTTTAGTTTACTTTTGAATACGGTTTCAGTGAGCGCGCTAAAATGATACTGGTATAAACGCTTGAAGGAGATATGTGTTGCATCAAATCGGTTTTTTGTTAATGCGGCTTTTTCGTAGGTATAAACAAGGTATATGTGTTTGTGTGTTTAGATCACTTCTCGAAGTTCGTATTTTTAAAACCAATGAGAAAAGCCACGGCTGCAGAAGTTACTAAGTTCTTAGAGAACGAAGTTTTCCACATTTTTGGCGTGCCAGAGTATGTCCACTCGGATAACGGAAAACAATTTGTCTCGGACATATCTACACAGTTCCTGGAGAGTATGGTACGCAGCATGTTCGGACTGCATTTTATGCACCACAAGCCAATGCAGCAGAAAGGGTCAACCGTTCGGTGCTACAAATCGTGAGGTCCTATATTAAGGGCGGCCAAAAGAATTGGGATAAGCACCTTAGCGATGCCGCTTTCGCGCTCCGCAGTGCTGTGCATTCTGCGATCAATGATACCCCGTATCATGTAGTCTTCGGTATGCCTATGATACAGCATGCTGCATCATACGAGCTATACCGAAGACTGGGGGCGGTTAGAGATACGGACTGCGAGGTCGATAAAACACAGCTTATCCGAAATAAGATCGTGAAAGAATTAAAGCTAGCCCATGAACGGAGTAAGAAGACCTACAATACCAGAAGTCGAGAAGTGAAGTTTCAGTGGCGTACCGCCGAAACTTCAAGCAGAGTTCCCAAGTCGGAAACTACAACGCTAAACTTGCCCCAAAACAAGTTAAGTGCGTTGTATTGAAAATAATCGGAAATTAAATGTACGAACTTGGGGACAATAGTGGCAAGAAGGTCGGGGTATACGACGCTAAGGATATCTTTTTGGCATAATGTATATTTTATGTGGCATGTTTAGTGTTAGATACTGTTCGTGTTAATTGTATAAGTAATGACTTGACTTACATAGGTTTACCACCCAGTGTCCTTAACTACTTGACTAGATATATGTGTATTTATATTTTTATTTTACTACTTGACATTTTATTTCGATATATTTTATAGTTACGAAATTTTTTTTATATGTGATATTTACTTATTTACTTGACTACTTATTTGATTATTTTCGTATCTATTTTCTTATTTACTTATTTATTTAATTATTACCTCACTTATTTATTTACTTATATTTATTAATTAAGGCATTTTTATTATATCTGGGATATTTACTTATTTACTTGGCTACTTATTTGATTATTATCGTATTTATTTTCCTTTTTATTTATTTAATTACACTTAGGTCTCTTTCTATGCGGTACATGCGTTCCTCAGAAAGCCGCATAAAAAAATCCGCATAAAAAAGTTCTTTACTTTCATACAAAAACAGGGGATGCATTCCAGCATTTTCGAAAACCGCATACATTCAGATACTCAATGTAAAAAATTCTAAAAAACCGCATAAAAAAATCCAGTGAGGCATTATTGAGCCAAAAAAAGTATTTACATATTTCTTCATTTCAACACTTATTATTCCATGTAAAACCGAACATTAATGAAATAAATAAAATTGTATCTGTATTTTAACCAAAAATAAATAAAAATACCACAATAAATAACAGGAATTATGTAAGAATACTTAAAAACATAATTAGAAAAAAAAAATTTTCTTAACAGCGGTCGCTCCTCGGTAGGCAATGGCCAACCTCCGAGTGTATTTCTACCATGAAAAACAGCTTCTCGTAAAAATACAATCGCCGTTCGGAGTCGGCGTAAAACTGTAGGCGCACACCACAAATGGGAGGAGAAGCTCGGCCAAGCACTAACATATGTGTAAGCGCCAATCTATTATTATTATTATTATGTAAGAATACAAAGACAAATTATTTATCAGAAGCATTGTCTTTTACACACTGAAAAAAGTAAAAAAACTCTCAAAAAAGCAAAATCGCTACTGCGAAATAATGGTTTGAAAACCCGCATAAATTCAAATCCGAATAAAAAGAGACCTAAGTGTACTTATTTATTTACGTAGTATGTAGACGTTGTAGTGACCTTTGACGTACTAGTTTGCATATACAGCAGCAGTTACACCCACCCAGTCATGAGCCACTTAAGAGCAAAAAAACTCAGAAGCCCGGCTTGGTCGTGGGTCGAGGCTACACGTAGGATGAAACATGAGCAACAGGCTGCCTTAGAATTTCTCTACGCGGACGCTCCATGGTGCGGGTGCCATCGGCGGTCGCGAGCCTGTAACGCCAGCTGTTACTTGGTATGTGTGTTTACATGTGTGTGTATGTGCTAATGCATGTGTGAAGGAAGTGAAAGTAGCCCCACTTTCAAATCCAACATAGTAGGTAGGCTAAGGTGCGAAACCTTGCTAACCTGGCGGTGATAACCTAGCCAGCAAAGAAACGTAAATTTTGTCGACAGTGCTGTTTAGTTCAATATTCCGTATCCGAAAACGAATAGAAAAAACTCCTACAGTTATCATCAATTTTCGTATCCAGAAAACGTTCGAAACGTTCGAAAAAGATGATGTCATTTGAAAGCGATAATTTTATTTTATTTGTTCAAGCTAAACATTTGAAAGCATGCATGCGTAGTTGGCAGTGGCTGAGCGTGCAGAAGAGTTTGCCGCTTTTTGTTAGCTTCCAGAATGTGTGCGATTCCGTCAGGCGCTTCCTAATTTTATTTTATTTCTTTTGAACCTTGAAAAGCGTATTGAACGAAAAATTCAATCACAATTTCAGAAAAAACAGCCGAAAACGTATCCGTTTCACATACTGTTGTCTGTACATACGTTTCTGCCGCACACTTTAGTGGGAAAACCGATCGTCAAAGTATCCGAAAATGGAATCAGTAAATGGACAAAAATCCGCACTTCATCTACTTTTTTGTCCTTTTTCGGATTGGTTTTCGGATTTTTTGCTGGCTGGGAAAGCAGTTGCAGGTTGTGAGTGTGTATGGGTGAAAATTTTCGAAGTTGAGTGACTGGATCGGCCGATCGGGGATTGAGTAGGTGAGGCATGAGTGACATTCTCGGCCATACCATGCCCGATAAAATGCCGCCAAGAAAGACCGAAGTGATGGGTTATATCAAACAAACAAAAAAAACACTTACAATATTTGAATTTGTGAATAATATTAGTTAACATATTGCAGTAATAAAGAAGTAATTAGAAGAAATTCATATTTTCGATTAAGATTTTCCTTTTATCATGAAAAATTTGATTTATTAGAATTGTGTTATTTAATATTCCCTATGATGTTGAAATAGAAGCATTTGAATTGAGCTTTGTTGGATTATGAAATGAATAGGGACACGAATTTCGATACGATACGATACCATATCGATACTTTTGCCATTCGATACCGATATTTTATACTCGATAGTTTTACACCGATATTTTTTGGAATCGAGTACATGAACTTCAGTATCGTATCGTATTTTCGGAAAAAATTCTACCAGTCATAAGTTAATATGAAACAACCTATGGTTCGCACAGACGCTACGTTGTAAGCTTATCCCTTTCTAATGCTTGGCGCGCTATGTCATCAGATTTGCGCCAAAAGTTTACAGTTACATATTCGACTTCACCAAAAGTAGCGGTAGTTTGCCAAATAAGTATTACCATGTATTTCGTCATAATCAGAGTTTCCTCTGTTGTTATTTATATTAAGAACACTTTTAATTTTTGCATACTAAATATAAGTAAAATCCAGTTAGAGTTATAATAAATCTAACATATTACGGAAGCTTGAATAGATTTGAAAAAAATATTAGAGAAAATGTTGTTCTTTTAGCAAGTTTTTTTACTAATTTATAATAAAACATTTTCTTAAAAGAACTTTGATTAATAATGTACTAGTTTTACTTGATAAACTCTGATATTTTGTTGATTTTTTAGTATAAGTACAAAATTTTTGTGGAAGTGTCCTTTTACAAAGCATTAAAAATCTACTTCATTTTTTGAATAAGAACAATACGCATTTAACAGGTAGTAGCAATGTCTTTAGTTTTTGCTTTTGCTCTCTATAATGTCAAAATCTGTCAACAAAGGTTGATAGCTTAGAGTAATATAAGCAAAGTTTGACAATTTAGAGACCAGATACAAACAATCAAACCATGTGCTCTACGTGCTGAATGTGCATTGGAATTATGCCATTATATTATTTGCAAATTATAAAATTCATTGAAGATTTCGAAAAATAGATTGTGTAAATAAATACTTTTACAACTTTCATATCAGTATGAAAGCAAAATTGTTTGCCTCGTAAATACGTATATACGTATATATTTAACAATGTTATATGTTTTAATATATTTTTTACATATTTAAAACAAAAAGACATTATAAAATTACATGCAATCGCTTTTTGGCCAACTAAGGGTGTACAAATTAAAAACGACTCTGTGTTCGGGTTCTAATAGAGCAGTGGCAACACTTAACACTGTACTGATACAAAACTCATCTTCATTTACACATTGAGATTTGGTCATTGTACATTGCTGCAAGCAATATCGTTGGTCATTGTATTTTTTGGTAAGTGCTCAATTTTACTACACATTTTACAATATTTTAACTTAAATAAATATTTACAGGTTATGAAAAGGAGCGAGATTTGGAAATATTACTCGGCGAAAAATGAAAAGGAGGCAAATTGCAAAATTTGCTTCAAGACCATAAAGCGCTCGGGAAACACCACAAACTTGCAAAAGCACATTCGGACACACCCGGTATTATAATTATAATTTTTTATCTAAATGCAGATATGTAATTGTTTATATTCCAGCGCTAGAAGAGATGTGCAAAGTGTAGATGAAAGGCAGAGAAAGATGCCTGGGTGTAAGGAACCGGCACAAGAACGCAACAATGGGACATCGCCAAGACCTAGTGATGTTTCGGAGGAGAACGAAAAATCCTCACCAATGACACTTACGCCGAAATCAGCTTCAACTAGGCAGCAGCGTTTGGGGGAATGTGTAAAACGACAGTAAGTTTGCTTCTTTCTGTGTTAAAAAGTGTGGTTTCGTTTGTTTCATCGCTATTGTAAATTTTAATGGCAGAATTAACGTTTTTAAATTAAGATGCTATTTGTCGGGCTTCTCATTTATTCAGTGCTATTACAATGATGCATGTTTTTGTTTCAAATTGCTATTCCATCATGTACATATCCACTGCTGAGTGGAAGATCGACCTATCTCGGCAGCCAGTTCGAAAACGAACTATCTCAAAAAACTTTTCAAGAACGCCCTATTCAGAACTATTGAAAAACACTCTATCTCAGAATTTGATTGAAGAACGCCCTATCTCAGCTGCCGATTGAAACCCGCCCTATATCAGCACATTTTCAATACATTTTGAACTGGCTGCCGAGATAGGTCGATCTTCCGCTCAGCGGTCGATATAGTGCCACACAAAACTATTGGCAGAGAATTTTTCATACTATGTAAAATTTTTAATTTTAATTTTTTATCCGCAAATTTTTTATAAAACATATAGTTTCTACTGCTACAAAAAAAAACAATCAAAAAATCTCTCAACTCTGCAAAACTTAAGAAAATTCAGTAAAATTGCATACATATTTGCAAATTTCTAAATCAGATTTTTCAGAAAAAATTTGAAAATTCAGTGTTATAGCTCATTAAATTTTGGGACAATAAAGTGCAAGTTTCATGTTCCTAAAAAATCTTATTGATTTTGGGCCATTTTTCATGACAGTGTCACGTAGTTCCTTCCATCCAAAGTTTGTTCGACAATTTTTTATATGGAAGAAACTACGTGACACTGTCATAAAAAATGGCCAAAAATCAATAAGATTTTTTAGGAACATGAAACTTGCACTTTATTGTCCTAAAATTTAATGGGCTATAATACTGAATTTCCAAATTTTTTCTGAAAAATCTGATTTAGAAATTTGCAAATATGTATGCAATTTTCTTGAGTTTTGCAGAGTTGAGAGATTTTTTTGATTGTTTTTTTTTTGTAGCAGTAGAAACTATATGTTTTATAAAAAATTTGCGGATAAAAAATTAAAATTAAAAATTTTACATAGTATGAAAAATTCTCTGCCAATAGTTTTGTGTGGCACTATATCGACCGCTGAGCGGAAGATCGACCTATCTCGGCAGCCAGTTCAAAATGTATTGAAAATGTGCTGATATAGGGCGGGTTTCAATCGGCAGCTGAGATAGGGCGTTCTTCAATCAAATTCTGAGATAGAGTGTTTTTCAATAGTTCTGAATAGGGCGTTCTTGAAAAGTTTTTTGAGATAGTTCGTTTTCGAACTGGCTGCCGAGATAGGTCGATCTTCCACTCAGCAGTGGATATGTACATGATGGAATAGCAATTTGAAACAAAAACATGCATCATTGTAATAGCACTGAATAAATGAGAAGCCCGACAAATAGCATCTTAATTTAAAAACGTTAATTCTGCCATTAAAATTTACAATAGCGATGAAACAAACGAAACNAGTTAGTTAAAGTGATTAGCTCGCTGTGGAACTTCGGTACAGAAATTATAGTTAAAATAAGCAGTTTTCGTTTTGTTGCAAGCTTTTATTTATCTGGCTCGACTTGCATGCATACATACATACAGCGAGTCACAGTTTTGATCACAGTGATTTTTTTTACAATATTCAAAATGTTTTTCAAGTTGAGTCTTTTACGTTAATTTTCTCTAAAAACAAAAATATAGTTTATATTATATTATAATAAATCAGTTTTGTAAAAAATTTAAAAACATTAACAAATTTTAAGCAAATTTTCAAAATCGTTAGATGTTTTTCGGGTATGTAGTTTTGTAGCCATTAATTTTAGTAACTTAAAGTGCAAGCTTGAAGTGAGAAATTTTAGTCACATACAAATTTTTAAAAATTATACAAAAATGTGGAGTATTATAAAAAAANATCACAGTGATTTTTTTTACAATATTCAAAATGTTTTTCAAGTTGAAAATATAGTTTATATTATATTACAATAAATCAGTTTTGTAAAAAATTTAAAAACATTAACAAATTTTAAGCAAATTTTCAAAATCGTTAGATGTTTTTCGGGTATGTAGTTTTGTAGCCATTAATTTTAGTAACTTAAAGTGCAAGCTTGAAGTGAGAAATTTTAGTCACATACAAATTTTTAAAAATTATACAAAAATGTGGAGTATTATAAAAAAATTAATGTGTTATCAAAACTGGGACTCACTGTGTAAGTGATATATTTTCTTAACGTTTGAAGTGCTATAGCTGCTCGAATGTTGTTATTAAAGCTGACCGGTTAAGAATTCAAAAAAAATATTAAGAACTTGTTAAATCCAGTTTAATTTTGCTAGAAAAGTAAATTATTTAAAAAAAATTGTTCTTTTTGTTCATGAACGGCTTGTTAAGTTTCAAAAAACTCGATTTTTTTTCTCGCTGCAAGAAATGGGAAACCAAATGAATGAAAGTTTTTAAGAATTGACCAATCAAAGCGTAACAAAGGGTCAATTTTGGAGTTACAGCAAAGAAAGTAATTGGAATTGCGTAATATTTTTTATATCATTCTTTGGCATATACTGCAATTTCCTTTGTTTTTGAAATTTTTAAATTAAATTCAGAGCACTATCAAACAACTATTTATTGCTTTAGATCTTTATACGCGGAAGTAGGTGCGCAGGAAGTGGCTATTGCCAAACACATTCTGTACTTTACATGCAAGGACAAAAGACCATTCGATATCGTGAAAGGCAAAGGGTTCCAGAAACTTTTAAAACTGTTGTGCCCTTCGTACACCATTGCTTCAGTTGACACCTTAAAGTCCAGACTAGATGACATTTACACAGTAAAAATGAATGAGGTTATTGGAACCTTTCAAGAAGTGTCTTCATTTGCTCTTATGTGCGATGTGTGGACTGAGACGATGTGCACAAAGAGTTTCTGGGCGTAACTGCACATTATATACACAACAACAAAATGATGAGGAGATGCCTAGACACAAAGGAATTGGAAGAGCGACATACTGCTGACTATATAGCCGAAAATTTAAGATCGGTTTGCGCGAAGTTCCATATTGAAGCAAGCAAAATAACGTGCGTCGTTACCGATAATGGTGCAAATATGGTGGCAGCTGTCAATGCTTTTGTGGGTAGATCCAATCACTTATCCTGTTTTGCACATTCATTGAACTTAATAGTTGAGTCCGTCTATAAACTTGAATCTTTCTGCGCGCTTTGCGAAAAAGTAAGAAATATTGTTAAGTTTTTTAAAAATAGCGTTGTATATAGTGACAAACTCCGCTCTTCGCAAAATTGCAATCCGCCATTAAAACCAATTTTAGATGTTCGAACGCGCTGGAATTCATTGTACTATATGTTAGACCGGTATGTACAGCTCGCGCCAACAATTCACCAAATATTAGTCCTTGATTCCAAAGCGCCTCCTATACCAACAGCTCAAGAGTTAAAGACGATTACAACTATCTTGGAAGTTTTAAAGCCGTTTGAAAATGCAACAAAGGAAATCTCTGGAGAACAATTTGTGACAGTCAGTAAAGTTATCCCAATAGTTAAAACCCTTCGTGCACAAATGAGAAATGAGATGGTAAAAAAACGGTTCGAATAACGACATAGTTAACAAAGTGAAAATGGTTCTAAATGACCAATTAACTATTCGCTTCAAAAATATTGAAGAAAATCACATTCTTGCCTTGTCATGTGTTTTAGACCCAAGATTCAAAAATATTACGTTTTCCGATCCGTGTGCTTATGCCAGATGCCTATCTTGGCTGCGGGATATGCAAAGTCATGAGGAAGTGTCTGAGGCACAAAAAGATTCTGACGTGGAAGTTGTAGAATCCCCCGAAAATAATGATTTTTGGAACCACATTAGAACCTTGGCATCTGGAAGGGAAGGGGGTCGCGGGACACAACAAAGGGAAAGCATTAGTGAATACATACATTGCAAACTTCTTCCAGTAAATGCTGATCCGTTGCATTTCTGGAAAGAAAATATAATCAAATATCCTTTTTTATCTAAAACTGCGCTTAGATATCTTGGGATACCAGCAACGTCTGTCCCGTCAGAACGATTGTTTTCTAAGGCAGGCTTCACAATGGCGAAAACGCGCAACAGGTTGGCGGGTAAGAGGCTAGATAAATTGCTTTTCTTGGCGGATTGCACTGAGGAGGAGTGGGGTTTTTGAAGAGGATTTTTCGCGTTCAATATGTTTACGGATATTCAACTCATTTTTTGATTAATTCTTTAATTTATACGAGTTGCATTTTCGTAGTATGCATAAAAAGGCAAGCAAAACTGTATTTCTATTTACTGGGAGAATTTCTAGTCAGTATTTAAAGTACAAAATTCATTTTTTTTTTATTAAATAACTTTATATTTCTTATTTAAGAATAAAAAAGACAATGTTAATTAAATTCACATTACAACACTAAAAGTGTATAAGACTGAACTGTACTCAACTAAAATGTATTACATTAATGTAATTTATAATATTTTTATAATAAATTAAAAGTATAAAACAGTTTAATTAAATTATTTTTGGCGCGTTTAAGGTAATGTATCTTCACTTCAGAACTTAATTGTAAAGCAATAGGATATATCTGTGGTCATAAGCTATAACCGCCTAAGTCGAAAAATCTGAATTCGAGAAAAAACGTTTTAATCATTTGGATTGTAATGTTAACGTAATGGGGAATCTAAAATATGTTCGTCTATAGTTTTTTAAATAGCCTAGCTAGCGAGATGTAGATTTCACATACACATGGGATAGTAGTTGTATGTAGAATACGATAGCATATATAACTCAATTCTTTCTTAAGTCGTCTTAGGCGGTTATTGCTTATGACAACAGATATGTGTATTACATAAAATATGTAAATCCTGCATTTATATGAATATGCCTTAACATTCTGCGTCAGGCTTGGGCCGATTTCCTTGCATGGGATTTCGCTGTGTGCCTCAAGATTTGTTTCGCATTCCAATGGCTAGTTAAGGAGCTTTAATGGGCACCAAACAGGTTAGTAAAGTTGCGTTCCAGATGCTTCACGATTTGCAGGTTTTACAGGATTTGCAGGAAAAGCTGTTTTCTCCATTAATAAACCTTATGGAAGGTGGTCACCTGGAACGGCTTCCTGTAAAAACTTGCAAATCTTGAAACATCTGGAACGTAACTTATGTGTTGGGATTTCAACCCGCTCCTTCGGTGTAGTAAGTAAAAACTTATTAAATTAGAAATTAAGAATTTTTTTCATGTGAATTTGGTATCGATATTTTGGGAATCGAGTCTTTTTGTTTCGATATTAATGGGTACCCGATTTTTTTAGAGCGATACTTTAAATGAGTACCATATCGATACTTTCGGTTCGATATCGTGTCCCTAGAAATGAATCAATGAATTTCTCCATATATGCCTGTTAATATCCAGAATTTGAAAATAGGTTGATTTGTTTGCTTTTTTTAGGTTGTTTGATAAAGCACATAGTAATAAGGTTAGAGTAAGCAACTCCCTGAATTATGGATTTAAGATTGTTGTACAATAAAAGGAAGAAAAGAGAGATAAAATAATAATGAGTTATGTTTGTTTAAGGGTTTGATGAAATAAAAGCAGTACGATGGAGTGCTAAACATTTAAAGTTGGTGTGGGTGTTTCACTTAGGCTGAAGAGGGGACCTGTGGGTGTTGACTATACACTAGACTGCTAGCTGACGTATGGACTAGTGGACAGACGGAGTTTGTCAGTATTAGGGGCCGTTGCTAGGTAGCCGGAGTCGCAGCAACGACCATGGCTACGCGTAGGTTTCGCGTAGAAGGGGAGGGACGACTCCAACTGACTGGACGGGACTTTTGACTTGATACGTTTTCTTCTTTTCGCTTCTTAGCTTGACTCCTTCCACTTCTTTAAGGCAAGCAGGCATGATCAAAATTGTTTTTGTTGATGTGGGTGTAGGTAAGGCAGGTGGTAAAGACCCCCCGCCCTCATCCGACGAGCTAGACCGGGTTCGCCACCATGCCTGTGCACCACCTGCTCTCACCGGACAGATCACGCATGTAACCAGTGTTGCCAGGTCTTCGGAATGAGAAAACGTCCTTGGTCTGAAAAACGTCATTTCCTACCCAAAAACGTCTTATTCAAATGAATGTACAAAAAATTGTTCTTATTAAACTTTTATTGTATACAAAGGTGCATGTGTACGTAAGGTATATTAAAATGTCATTTTGACAGAGCACATTTAAAATTCATTGTAAACTGGTTTGAGATCGTTAATACATATCGTCGACTTACGAGTGTAAACCTGCTAACGACCAAAAAACATATTTTACTGTAGAGGAAAAAAACTAAATATATCTTTAACTCTTAGTCTAAGGGGCAAATCCTACATATAGTTTGTTAATCGCGCGACGTTCTATGGCCCTAATCCAGAACGAATGAGAAAAATTACGTTTTTATGTTTTTATTGGCGAATTTCTAACTTAGCAGGTTTTAGTTTTTGTATTTTCAAAATCGAAGTGGATTTAGCAGGTTTTTTGGATGCATAAAATTGCTTCTATTTTATTTTTTGTGATTACGAGCTCAATTTAAATGTTAATTAAAATAGTATTCCATAGATAAAAACAATGATATATATAAAAAAAAGTACAACAGATTTATTCTTCCGTTTATTGCAACAAAAATAGGCAGTTTATAAAACATATATTAGTAACTATACGTGAAGTATTCCTCTCCTAAATTAATAGTACAAAGACCACATATAAGATAATTTAAGTAGGAACTCAATAATATCAGAAAGTATGATACATATTATTCAATCATGAGGTAAATTGTTATAGTAGGCGTGGTAATCTTCAGGAAGTAATCGTTTGAAATACTGGGGATCTCATACTTTCTGCGAGCAATCGTACGCCTACTCTCGTATAAATTCGGAAGGTGAGAAAACGGCAAGGTAACAGCTACTGGGGATTTTCTTTGCGGTATTACTTCCCATTTGTTGGAGAATCTTAGTTTGAAATGTATGTCGCCACTTGGTGTATACCGTAGGGCTCGTATATCAGTTACTTTAGCAGCATCTTTGCCGCGACCGGGACGAATGCTATTAAAGAATAGAACTGTGTTAAAGCTGTTAAAGAACGTGTAACTAAGATAAGTTACGTCATATAGTTTTGGATTTTTTCTAGCTGATCTACATACTTCAATGTATTCTGCAGGAACATGGATATCTCTTTTCTTAAGTGCTCGTTCGATAGTGGTATGGATACAATCAGCTTCCATTTGGGTATGGCCTACTTCAAGAAACTTTTGCTCAATAATGATATTGCTATTTATAGCTGTGGATAACAAAGCATTAGCCATAGTGCTGTTTCGGTTTTGATATTTGCATTCGTCGCTATAAAAAATTACTGTAATTTGCTCCCCGGAACTATTATTTGGTACTACATTTTTTTCTATCAAATCTACCCACACGCTGGAAAACTCTTCTGCATTTAATCTTCCTTCTGTTTCGTTCCACAAGTAACAATAATTTCCTTGAGATATAAAAAATTAAAGCTTATTCGCTGGCTATTACCTTGGCTTAAACAAATAAAGTAATACTCTAAGATAGAACAATAATCGAGCGACAGAAGCACAATATGTTGGATTTAGCAGTTGAATTTGAACTGATTGTACTTAGCAGCTTTACTCATCAAACAATTTTTGACAATTATATTTTTATATTGACGTATTTTTTTGGTTGCCAACTGCGGAATCGCCTTCTCCTTCGAACTGCATAAAAAGGTCAATTTTGCTAAAAACGGATTTAGCAGGTTTACACTCTAAGCCGACGATATAAAAATCATTTTATACATACATTTTATACATACAGCTGATTAAGTCATCACTATTTTGATCGATTTTGGCTGTTTCTCTTTTGTTTATTTAATGTTTATTATTTTATTTTTATTTAAAAGCCAAGCTCATTATATAACAAACAAAATATAAATCCACATTTCAAACTTTGTGCAAAAACTATAAAAAATCTGCAATTTTCAGCTAGGTTTTCAACTTATTAAGATTTTTTAGAATTTTTTTGAGTATGCAGTTTGATAGCCCATCAAATTTCAGGGCAATAATGTTCAAGTTTAAAGCGGCTAAATAATCGTGTTGATTTTTAATTTTTTTTCTAGTAGACATTTGGTGAGAGGGTCGGTTGTCGAAAATGCTAAATTACGTTCTGCTAAGAAGGAGCATGGCAATGTTTCAGCCTTTTCTGCGTTCATTACATTTTCAATGAAGTCTTAAAAAAGTCGCCTACTTTTTTCTGACTTTTAATGCTGCTACAGCTTTTTGATGCTTTTGCGAGCGTGCGTGTTGCAAGAGAAGAGCTCTTCCTGATTTGGCTTTTAATGTGCAATTGCAAACATTACAATAAGCCTCGTAACCTCAAGTGTTTACACAACCAGCCTTTTTAACACGGGCTCCTTAGCCCAAGAATCCAAAAAATGCGCGTACGCTTGGTATGCATCATATTGAAGTCCTCTGTGTCCAAAGAATAAATATCTTTTGAAGCAGTTGCTGCAAAACAAAAAGCTTGTAAAGATTAATTAGTAACAGAGAAAAATTATTGGGAAGTTAAAAAACCTAATTTTTTACATAAAAAACGTCCAAACGTCAACAGGATACAAAAACGTCCAAATGACGTTAAAAGCGTTAACCTGGCAACGCTGCATGTAACAGTGGTGTTACTTAGGGTTTACACCAGACAATATTGTAAAGACAATTATGTCAAAATGATGTGTTTGTTGTAAACACGGCGAATTCATATTACAACAAACACATCATTTTGACATAATTATCTTGACAATATTGTCCGGTGTAAACCCTAAATTACTGGCGAATTTAGATTTTCGCCGCGGTCTTTCTCTATGTCAAAATGATGGGTTTGCTGGATGAAATATAAACTAATAAGGAAACTGTTTGTGGGTTTTTATTGTTGGATTTCACAAAATAAACTTATTTAAAAACAAAATATGTTTTTTTTTATTAGGAATATGCTGCGAATAAACTACCAATTTATCAGCTATTCATGAAACTTGCAAATTATTACTGGATTTGCGTTTCATTTCATTTCATTTATTAATAAAATCATTAGCACAATAAGATATCTTTTATAAAGAATAGCCGTGCAGAGCTGAGATAATTGTAGGTAGGAGCAGTCAAGTCCTTTAGTCGAGTGGATTTGGGGAACGTTAATTTTTCATATAGATATTTGGAAAGGAATACACAATTTCTAGCTTTAAGATATTCAGAAATTTCGCAGCCAAGTAGGCGCGTTCTCCAAGCGAAAATATGCTCATATTTTGCTAGCCCAAACACATAGCGCGTGATCTGGTTAAATACTACATCTATTTTGTGAGCTGATTGGGAATCTAACCTGCTGTAGACTACCTCAGAATAACAGATAATTGGCATTATAAGTTGGATTGCGAGTTTACGTCTGATTTCTATCGGTGTAAATGGAGCAGACATTCGTAAATTCCTTAAAGTATTATAGACTTTGCCTACAGTTGAATTCACATGGTCAATGCAGGTAAGGCTAGTGTTGATAATAAACCCACTTTTGTCACAAATTTAATTGGTTTGCCACCAATGTGTAACGATGGAACAGTTGCTAGGTTAAGACGTTTCTTACAAATAGGTAAAACAAAACACTTGTCACAATTAAGACGAAGGCCATTTAACTGTGCCCAGGACCTTATAGACATCAGGTCTCTGTTGAAGCTTGCGCACAAATTAGCTGAGTCCTCCAGAGG